GGGGGGGCCGCCGGCCGGCGGAGAAGGGGGGGGGCCTTTTTATACAGCCAGCAGGAAAGGCCCCCAGCGCCCCAGCCATGCTATGTGGGGCAGCCCCACAGCACCCCGGCCTGGTCACCCCGGGTGACAAGGTGCCTGAGATGGCCACCCTGTCTCAGCACCTGAGACGGCTGCCTTGCCATGGTGCCCGAGATGGCCACCCTGCTGTGGCACCCGAGACGGCAGCCCTGCCTCAGCACCCAACATGGCGGCCCCACCTCAGCACCACAGTGCCCAAGATGGCGGCTCTACCTCAGTGCCACGCTGGCACCTGTGGACATTGTGCCCCATGCCGGAGCTGGCGCTGACGAAAACCCCTCCATTCCCAGCTTGGTGGACTTCAAGTGGCTGCCCTTCCCCATGGAGGACATACCCCATGGGGTGGTGGGTTGCTGAACACCTTGGGGCTAAGATGGCCACCGGGGCTGTGCTGAGGCAGAGATGCCCACGCGCACGCTCCCCAAACACACGCCTGAAGGGGAAAGAGCAACAGGCGGCACTGTGGAAGGCGGCGATGCCACTTGGAGCACGTTGGCCCACGAAGGACGCCTGTGAGGGGGACGCCTGCCACCATCGCACCCTCCCGCTGCGCCGCACAGCCCTTCACGCCCTCTCGTGGCACCCGCTCGGCACCACAACCGTCCCCATCCCCACAGCCATGGCGGCAGAAACGGGCCCGCCATTCCCCGGGGTCAACGCATCCCCGTCAGGACGGGCGTGAATTTCCAGCACGTGCAACCGTTTCTACCCGTGCACAAATTGCTGGCAGATGTAGCCCAAAAGCAAGCGCCGCGCGGGGCTGGCAGAGCCAGGTTTCCTTCACGGGGCAATCAGAGCAAATTTTCCCTCATTTCTCCTCCCTCTCACGGAATTCCCCAGATAAAGGCTCTGCTGGTCCTTGCCCGGGGCTTTGCCGCCTCTGGGCAGCGTTTCGTAGGGCGGTGGTCTGGTGGTTGACTGAAAGCAGTCCCTGTTTTGGGGGGAGACGGCGTCGACTCTGCTGCCTGCGGATGCTAACTTGCATGGCCGTGAATGAGTTTGCTTTATCTCGAGGGGGAAACTGCTGCTCCCTGCTTGCTGCTGACGGCCACAGTGACAAGGACACAGCCACAGCACGAGCACGGGCCAGTTCCAGCTGCGGGGCTGCTCGTGGGTACTGCCGGACGGTGGGACGTGAGCTACCGCTGGGTAAAGCTTAAAAATTCAGAGCTGGTCCTGGGCTCTGCATCCCCTTTCTACCACAGAGAGAAGGGATAACCATGCAATTCTCCCTAAGGGAGAAAATAAGCAGAAGTCCCATCCTGTGGGCAGGACTGCTCGATGCTATCCCTGAGGATTTTATTTATATATTTTTTTTAAACACTAATGCCCATCTCCTCTCAAGTCATTCAATAAGAAAATCTGGCACCGGTTGTGCCAAGCTCACAGCAGCATGGGGCTGGCCATTGCTCCCCGGTGAGTGCAGCCGTACTTGCCTGGCATCTGTAGCCCCAGGGCTGCGGAGACCCCCTCCTCTCCTCCTCGGCAGGATTAGGTACACAGTCCTATCCGGCACAGCGCTGCCAGCAAAGCTTTGAAGTGCAGCCCTGGAAACGAAGCTTTCGCTGCAGGAATGGGAAAATGCCAGGACAGAGAGATCTCCGCCTCCATCACTCACTGGCCTGGGCAGAACTGGGAAAACGAAGCAGTTTTTTAAAAGGCGAATCTCCAGGCAGGGAACGGGGCATATTTCTTCTGCAGTTACAAGATCTTTGCTCTCTTGCATTTTGCTCCAGCCCAGTAACCAAAGGGTTATTTCCACCAGTGTGGGCAATGCACAGAGCTATTCCCACAGCTACCTTAAGGACCGACATCAAGCTGTGGACACCGCTGGCTCCCAGATAGAGCCGGACAAGCCCCAGTTCTGGGGGGAAGAAAGAAGCAGGGTGGAAGGTGGGTCTATTTACCCCACTGACTCTTTCTGGTGAGGGGCCAGGCCTTAAACAGAAACTGTCTGGTGCATCTTCCAAGGAGCTGGCCCAGCATGGAGCTGCCTCTTGGCAGAGGGAGACACCGGCTTCCTCCGTCAGCGGGGCGATGAGCAGTTTCACACACGCTCCATTGAGTCACTGCTTCGTTGGTGGCCTCCCCAACGCAGGATGGCTGAGCCCAGCCACCCTGGGTGCACACGGGGGAACCATTTTAGGCTCCAGTGACAGAGGCGTCAGCAAACACTGCTATAAATAGCGGTGTCGAAGGAACAAGATGGTCAGGCTGTCCAAATCCTGGCACGGCCCCGCTAGCGCTGATAGCAAGTGCCCTTTGCTTGTTCTCTTGCCGCCAGGTCCTCTTATCTATTCTTCCAACTCTGGGTGTTTCTGTTGCCCTGTCACCAGGTCCCCTGCCCTGACATTTTAGCCTCCTGGGATGGCTGCATGTCCCTGCTCACAATTGTTAGCCCTTATTCTGCACTTCAGAAAGGACGTAAAACTAAATGTGCTGCAGGGACGTGGTGTATTCCCCACCAGTGCAGCCTGGGACCCCTCATGGCCAACACCACAGGGTTGTTGGGACAGCCCTGTCTCTGCATGGCCCCTACACGCTGGGATCCGCTGCTGGGCATGCAGGCATCACCATGGAGATACGGGGTTTCACTACACTTAAGAGCACTTCTGGATCTCTGCTTTTCTCCTGCAAGGAAGACGTTATCTCTGGATCATTCTGCTCTCTGTTACGGTGATGGGGAAACTGAGGCAGGGAGGTGTCATGACTTACCTTATATACATGAGGACCAGGAGAGCAGAGCTCGCACTCTGCCCGATCTCCCTGCCATAGTCATCAGGGGCGTCACACCCTTACCAAGAAGCCCCACAAGTTCTTGGGGTTAAATTCTGGGTTCGTGGTGAAAAGCTGTTCTTGCTATTCAAAGGCCATGATTACCTTGTGAACATCTGCGCTGACAATAGCTGAGTGGCAGCATAATTCTCCATCAGCTCTGCCTCCGCTTTCTCCTCCTCCATGTTCTTTATTTTAAAGCACACTCATTGCAAAGCCCTTCGATGCCTGATGAAGGAAAAAGCTCAGAAAATGCAACAGAAACAAAAACTCAGGCTTGCAGCAAACCAACGACAAGACACCACAGACCCAACTGCACAAACCTCCTCCTTCCCTCCCTGCATGGCTTTGGTCCATGTCTCTCCATGACCCGTTGGCTCCTTGGCCCAAATGCCAACGCTAGTCCCCAAGAGCGAGTCATGGGCGCGGGGTGGTCTTTGCATGAACATCAGAGCCAGCTCTTGGCTTTGGCATGGACATCCTGACCTCCAGGCCCACCTGGACTTTCACTGGTGCAACATGGGCCTTATCAGTGCTGGAGTTTGATTTTTTTTTTTCCTCTGGGCATCTGGTGGAAGAACATGCAGGACTGGGGATGGGTGTGGGGAAGGCATCCCAGCAAATAAGGCTGCATGAGAACGCTCTCTGCCGAGGGCCATCCGTCCCTTAAACGAACACCCCTAGCAGAGATGCTGCCCTGAGGCCTATGGACATTCCTTGGCTATATTTGGTGACGGATGGAGAATTTGTTGCTTCCCCTTAACCCATCTGTTCTCCTTATTGGCGGGGAGGAGCTAACACCAGAACTGCAGTGTCGCTATTCGGATAAACCCGGTACTTCAGCAGCAATAAATCTCCTCTAAAAAGCTTTTGCTGCCTCCCACCTGTTGGCTGGGAGAAGATCAAGTTGACAAAAGTCTTCTGCCAAACTGTATTTTTATCCAGGACTTCACAATGAGTCCAGGTTACAATAAAAGCCTGAGGGAGGCAGCTGTATCACGAAGCAGAGGGAGGCAGCTGTATCACAGCACCTCTCTCAACTCTGGAATCCCACCTCTCCCAGAGGTCTCCAGTTCCCAGGTAGCTGCTTTTACTACATTTTCTGAATTCCCTGAAATCCCAAAAGGCCCTTTTTCTCCTCGTCCCCCCCACCTCTTCACCATAAAACCTGGGAGGTCCCAAGCAGGCACCCCAGACTCTCTTGCTGGCTGCACCAGGGAGCCAAAATACCCATTGTGAGAATGGCAACAGAGCGAGCCGGGCTGCGACCAACACAGTTTATTACAGAAAAACACGCAGAGGGATTTCATTAACATGGCAGTCCATTCACAAGAAAAACCGCCAGAGGACAATGAAGTGAAACCCACAGCAACAACACACAGCGGGAAAGACCAGTCGTCGGCCAGCACAGCACAAGAGGCACAACCGCACTGGCCCATCGGGGTGGGAGATGTGCCTAGCCCATGCAGCTTGTCCTGGGGACTGCATCGCCCCCCCCCCCAGCCTGAGGGGATGTCACAGATGGGCACACAAGGAAAGTACACAAGCAGCAAATCCACGTCTGCCAGTTGTAGTGATGGAGGAGAAAAAAACCATAGGAAGCCATGTGGATAAAAGCAAATGGGGCAGCCATTGCAGGAGCGGAATATCCTCCCCACACAGGAAGGACTCAGGAGGTGCAAAGGGAGGTCTACCTCACTTGGAGCCCATTTCCCGAGCCCCACGTCTCCCAGCAAAGCCCTGGCAGCAGGAGGACCCTAAGCAGAGTCACTAAAACTCCTGCCTCCACTGTGCCCCTGCCCCCCCAGCTTGCACCCAGCTCCCTGTGCACCTCAGGACCTGGAAAGGCAGCAGTGAAAGCTGCTGAGATCCAGGGCCCTGCCCCAAAACCACAACACATTGCTTCCCTGGAGCTAACAGTACCTTCAGACAGGGCATCTCCTCCTGCACAGCCCAGCCCTGCCAACATCCCTCATTCGAAGCACGCATCCCCCATGGCACCCGGTGCAAGCGTCCATCCCCCAGTGGTTGTGCTTGCATCCTGTATCAGATCCCACCAGTACCCTGCCCTGGCCGGGGGCTCCTAAGGGCTTGTTGACAACCCCGTTCCTCTTGCAACGTCACCTCCCGGGCTGGCGGGAGGCCCCGGTGCAGCCCGCTTGCGAGCTGAGCTTGGCTGGGCTTCCACAATGCGATCTTCAGGAAACACCTTGGAAATGTCTCCTGGGAGGCCAGGCTGTTCTCCCCCTCCCAGCTGCCAAAAAGATCTCCAAGATACAGTTCAGATCCCAATATTCATTCACATTAAAAAGATGAGACCTTTTTATAAACCTATATATTAACAGGTGTGTTACTGAGATGCTCATTTCTTTCAAGACTTTTTTTGTTTGTTTGGATTTTAGACCTTCCTCTAAGGTGCTTGTCACCCAGATGTGACAAATAACAGTCTGTGAAAGTGAGATAGTTCAGGGGGGAAAAAGTGCAATTTGCTTTTCACTGCTAGAGCAGGATTTAATGCAATGAGAAAACAGTATCCTGAGCCACTGAAGGCATCACTAGCTTGTTTATGTATTTGTCAAAAGTGCGATAACTCGAGGCCTAGCCTCGCTGTCGGGAGCGGCGGAGCTGTTTTAGCTGAAACCTCCCTGCAAAGTCAAGCCAGAGGCAGACACATACCTCGGAAAACTGCAGCCCATGGAGTTGGCGTTTATAGAAAACTACTATCAGATAAGGCTGGGCATCCTTCGTGCCCAACCATGGGGTGTACCGACTAAAAAAGAAAAAAAAAAACAAACCCACAAGAAAGAAGTAATCTTTAAATTTTTCTCCTGAGAGTGTCCTTTGGGACAGGGCTTTTTGCAGAAATGTCAGTGTGATTTTCACACCGATTTCGGAGCAGCTCTCCAATTGATTTCTCTTCCTGTTTTTTAATCGGAGATTTGGTTCCCTCTCACAGGATCACTAGCAGAGGTGTCTATTTTAGGAAACACCAGAGGTTTTAAGAAGCTGAGGAGAAAGATTATCAACTCATAGGGGCTCAGCCTAGAAAGGGGGAAAAAATCCTCTAATTAAAACCCCCAGGCTGAAATTCTCTGCAGATTTACCTAAATCGACTTCAAGTGATATCCTAAATATATTAGGGCCTGCTTTTAACTTAATTCAAGCCCTAGGCATGTGTCTGCGGACCATGGACGGCTCAGACGAGAGCTGGCTTTGGATGCCTCACCGAGATGACTATTTTTAAGTGCTAACTCACGCAACTGTGAAACCCAGATTTAAAAACCTGGGCCAACGATACACTAGCCCGAAGCTCCAAGCAGGAAACAGGATTTTTTTTTTTTTTTAAATATATGTAAGTGTTTGTTTCTATTCTTCCAAATCTTAGTGCATGAAAGGAAAGCTGTTCAGCTGACAAAATCTTGGTGAAAGGACAAAGGACAAAGACATGGAAGATTTTCCGGTTGGGGAGCAGGGGCTGGGTCTGTGAAGGAACAATATTATGGTTTAATTTTAGTTAAAAGGGACAGCATTTTGTTTCAAAGCTGCAAGAAGGGTTTTTGTAAATTCCCAAAGGCTTTGGGAATTACCTGGGGTTTTAAAGAAATGCCAATAGGTTAAACCTGCCTGGCACAAACAGTCCACAAAAGGCGAGAGCCATCCTCGAGGGGTTTTGCCTGAAACACGTGCAGAGCGCGGACGAACAGGGAAATGGCTCATGGGGCTGCCCGGCGCGGGGGAGCCTCCGGCCCCACGAGGAATGGGGACAACGCCACGACATTGCAACGAATACAGAGGCGAAAGGAAGCCTTTCATCAGCCCCCTCCTCCATCCATGCCCCCGACAAGGCTCCCGCTGGGGAATAACCTCGCGCTCGCCAGGGCAAATGCTCTCTGCCTTGCAGACCACAACCCAGGTCAGAGCGTGGTGCACGGGGTGAAGCCTGTGCTGCACGCCGGGGGCTGCGGGACCAGCCAGCTCCGCTACTTGCTGTTCAGGGTTTGCTTCTCCTGCGCCGGCCGCTTGTGCTTCTGGGCGATGCCGTAGGGGACGTGGGCAGCGACAGTGCCCATCTCCTTGGCTCCCTCCACGTGGAACATCTGGTCATCGAAGAAGATGTGAGGACGGATCTTCTTCAGCAGCGGCCCCTTGGGAGCCCCGGCCAGGAACAAAGCCTCATCCGTCTCCAGGCCCCAGCTGCGCAGAGTCTTTAGGGCCCGGGCTCCCGAGCTGGCCGCGCTCCTGGCAGTGACCAGGTAGGTGCGAATGGGACACTCCATCCTCAGCCCCTTGGAATAAAACTTCTTCTGCAGCTTCCCCAGAGCCTCCAGGAAGCCCTTCAGGGGTCCCTGCCAAAGCAAGAAGAAACCATCACTTTGCAGACCTCCATGCTATCCCTTTCTCCAGGCACCCAGTCCCAGCAGAGCCAGACATGCTGGCTAACCCCTTCTCCCTGTGAGCCCCCAGAAACGACAGTGAGGGGCCAGACGCAGCCATCCTGTGGGCCAGCAGTACCAGGCTGCTGACCCACCCCATCTCACACTCCACATGCCGACCCCTGGCTTGTTCCCAGAGGCGAGAGCATCCCTGCAGGCTGTCTCTCTCCCAGAGGCTTTTCTGGCTGCACCCCAGCACTACCTGTGCCAGAGGCTTGTTCTCGTGAGCCTTTTCATGCTCAAAGAACATGTCCAAGCCGTGAGCCTTCACGATCTGCTCCGACTCATCAGAGAAGAGCACGGCGTCACCATCAAATGCCACCCGCAGCTGGTTCTCCGACACCTCCAGGTCTTTGCTGGGGCTGAAGATGGTGGCTGCAGCAATCCCTGTGGAGGTAAAGTGCGAGGCAAGAGGTGGCAGTTACCCAGGGACCCGGCCTCGTGGCTTATCCATTGCGGAGCAGAGCAAAACACAATGGCCTGGAGGCAAATGCTGCAAGGAAATGCACGCACCCAGTAGTGCCTGCAGTTTGGCCCCAAGACTTTTTTGCAGCAAAAACAAATCCTCAGATGACAAACTTCCCTTTGCATACAAGAATTAACAGGGAAAAACAGTGCCTTTTCCTTTGGAAGAGCTGTGGAGCTCGAGGAAAGCCTTATTTCTATGGAAACTAGAGGCTCTTTGGAGCATCAAGGATGGGATGTGGGACAAGGCAGACCCTAGCTGCACATCAACACAGGGACAGGGACATTGGAGCTACCACTCCTGGCACCAACCCCCTGAGGGCTCCAGGCTCCCCCTGCTGCCCCATCCCAAGGTGGACCCCAGACTCACCCTCTTCAATGGCCCCACTCACTTTCTCGGCGTCAGAGGAGAGGTAGAGGTTGGTGTGATAGGCCTTGAGGTAACAAATGGGGCTGTTCCCTCCCGTCATGCAGAACCTCTCGATGAACAGATCTGAGGGCAGATGGACCCTGGGGTGAGTCCGACTGCCCCCCAAACAAGCCTTGACGCTGCTCCCCTGTGGCTTCCCAAGAGTCGCCAGGATGGGGGCTAATTTTGGTACTGCCATTCAACAACATGGCCGGCAGCCAGAGCATCCTCACCACCAGCCAACTTCCACTCAAAGCCCAGGAAATTTGGGAGAAGTGGGCTCAGTGCGTGGTTTGGAGGAAGAGACAGGAGAAAGCGTCTCTTATCTTGCTGCCAAGCAATAACACTCTGCCCAAAACCCGCCAGCACCCACGCAAAGGACAGCTTTGCTCTCAGCTTACCATAGTGGTTGATACTGTTGATCAAGCGAACCCCAACCTGGGCATGGTTGTTGGTCATGAGGACGATGTCGAAGAGCTCCTCACTGTCGGGGTAGAGCTCACGCAGCTGCGTGTTCACCGCTTCCAGCGCCTGCAGCACCCCAGGGCGAGGGGGGGGGCTGTCAGCGAGCCCCAGGCATGGCCTCGACCCCCTTCTCACTGAGCAAAACACTTCTGTTCACCGAAACCAGGGATCTGGCCTGACCCCAACTACACCCTGAGCCAAGCTGACATCAGCAAGCAGCTTTAGCTGGGAAAAAAAGACTGATTTGGGGGAAAAAACACATAGCTACTCTTCTATTTTCAAACACAAAAGGTTTCAAGTTTTCATTAGGAGATGACAATAAATTAGCTCAAAGTTACAGATAAGTGTTTTTCAAGCAATCAGAAACAGAACAAGTCTCTCCCCACCAAGTGGATTTAGTTTATTCATTGGGAACGGGCAAGAGATTGCTTCAGTGAGGGCCAGCACAGAAAACTGCACTAAATCCAGTGGAACTGGGACAGAAATTGGAAAATATTTTTGAAGTTTGAACCGCCTCATTTCAACATTTCAAAATTAGAAATTGGCTGACTCTGTAGCAAGGCTAAATTCAGCCAATTTAAAAGAATAAATAAATTGTAATAAAAAAAAAGGTATGACAACTCCCTAAAGGGAAACTTTAAATATGATCCAAAGAGATGATTTCTTCAATTCTTGGGCTCAGTTGCCAATTTGGAAAATTCAGCGCTTCCTCAGTCCTGGAAGAAGCACATCACTTGCCAGGAGGTTTATTTGACCTCTGTTTGCTCCGTAGCTACATCCCTTCTGCCACGCTGCTCATTTCCCATCCCTTCCCCACGCGAGCGCCCCATAGCACTCCCCTCTCCCCAAAACTTTTGGGTCAGGATCACAGTGCAGATTCAGCTTAGGTGGGTGGATGCTCACCTTGACGAAGGGGAAGGCAGCCCCAGGGAGGAAGGGCTCGTTCTCATGGTCCAGCTGGTATTTCACATAGGCCTCCACCCCTTGCTCGTTGTAAATCTTCTGCTCCTCCTCCATGCGGAAAAGCGCTCGCGATGACACCGCGATGGTGATGGCGTTCTCGGGCTTTGGCTGCAGGGCAAGGGAGAAAATGGGGAGGCAGCCCCTGCACCCAGCCCTGCTGCCCAAGAAGGCATCTGTTAACTTTCCACATGAAAGGCCACGGGGTGGGTGGCACCTCCATAGAGATTTGGAGGATAATGGGGCAGCTGCAACCCTGATCTTCCAATGCTGCAACAGATGAAGCCCTGATGCACCGTCCCCACACATTTGGGATACCTGAGAGCCTTTTTCTGCTGCTCGCACCATGCCCAAGCCCTCCCACTGCAAACAGGCTCCCAGGACCCATCCAGACCCAATGTGCTATCCCAGGAGAACCACTCAACCCCATGTAGAAGGAATTTGTATGGCTTTCCCTGCCCCCCAGCCAGGAAAAACCACGCACTGCGGCTCGGCCAGATCCACACTCCCACGATGCTGTCCAGATGTGACAAACAACCCATGCCAGCTCAGCTTATAAAAACACTTGATATAGTTATTGTGGGCGGAAACATGACAAACAGGTGGTGCAAGCAATGATTTATGAGTCATTATTATTAATGTTTGAGGGCTTGATCCCAAATCCACCGAAGTCAACAAGGGGCCTTTAGTGGGACTTGGCAGCGAGAGAGGGGACACCAGGAAAGTCAATCTCATCTTGACCCCTACCCATTCTCCCTCTCCCCTTGGAGGGCAGAAGGGTGTTAATCCCCATCACTCACTTGCAAGCATGAAAGCAAATTAATTCCTGATGGCCAGCAAGAAATCCTTGCTCCCAGAACAGCAAATCCTAAGGAGGGACAGTGGCACAGGCAGCCCTGTCCCCAGCAGACTGTGCCTGCAGCGAGTCCTGGGAGCGGGACAGGGCTTGGGGGCTCACGCAGGCAATGCTCCCTGGGAGCTGCGAGCAGTCCCAGCCCGCGCGCTCTCTGGCTCAGGGATGCATCTCCGCAGGGAGCCTGTGAAATCCAGGCCATCAGCACTTCAGAAACACCTCACCCTCAGCTCCTCTGTGATTTCCAGGATCCTCACGTAGCATGTTGCCCTGTGAGTAATCCTCCAGCAATGTCATTTGCCCAGGGGCAGGAGGGCACCTTGGCCAGCCACTCTGCACACCCAGGTGCTCCAAAGTTCAAGCTCCCACCCTTCCTAGGGCTGAGCTTTACAGGAACAGCAGCCTGCAAGGACAAGGTACCTCATCCGCACCCGGGTTCTTCACTCCCCGCAGGGCTGGGCCTGCCCCAGGACTCGCTCTGCCCCCGTCCCAGCCCCGCAGATCCTGCCCAGCATGGAGACGCACCCAGGAATGAGTCAATGGCAGCCCCCATGCCATTCCCAGCACCGCACCCACACCCCGTAAGCAGTGCCCAGGGCCAGCCCTGCGGTGCGGTTGGTCCCAGACACCTCTCCAAGGCTGCATCAGTACCCAAAACCCCCAGCAAGCAGATCAAGCAGTGGGCGATTAGGACTAGACACAGATTAGCTCAGGCTGAGAACACCACTGTGGCCAGAGGGATCCCTTTCCCACAGCATTTGCAGAGAAATAACGTCCCATTTGGAAGCGGCTCTTTTGAGAAAGCAGGTGAACAACCCCCAGGACACACAGGATCACCCAGGTCCACGCAGAAGCTGATCAGCGACACCAGCATCGCTCCCACAAGTCAACCGCAGCCAGAACCCCACTTTACATTTAGCTACCTGGTGGGTGTTAGCTATTAACTTGTCATGGGCCAAGACTTGGCACTCCAACTCATTAATTAATAACTCTGGTGTCATGGGCCATTTATTAGCTGAAAATATTAATAACTATTAAAGGTCTTGGGACATCCGGCCATTAGCTTTCAGCAAGGAGTCCTGCACTCCGTGCTGCTCCCAGGTCTCTGCGGCACTGGGTTATTTATCTGGGTACGTAGTTGAGCTGCCGGGCGTTTGCTCCCCGCTCCTGGTCCCCGATGGACCGCAGGGCAGAGCATCCTCCACAGCCAGCCCTGCAGGAGGATCCCCAGCAGAGAAGGTAGGTCAGCAGCACGCACAGCAGAGGCATGTTCAAGGGGGCGAGATGCTTGCGTGGGGCCATAAGCTGAGCCTAGCCTGGTGCCCAGCCTGAATTTGCATCTCTATCTCCCGTGGCACTTGCACCAGGCAGGTCCCAAGAGCACAGGCACCTTGCGCAACAGCAACAGGATGCTCAAGGTCCCTTCCCTGCCATTTAAAGGCACCAGCCTCCAGGAGGTTAATTTAAGAAGTAATAAAAACAGCAATAAAAATAACTGTAAGCTTGAGGCCTAACTCTGCCCCAGCGTGGGCTGCTGGAGCCCCAGCTGCCTGCGGGCGGGAAGCCCGGCCTCCGGGAATGGGACCTGCCGGATCCTGTTCGCTCCTGCCAAGGAAGATTTGCACCTTTGGAGCACTTTCTGCGGGAAAGTCTCACCCGGACACTAATGCAGCTCCCAGCTCCGGCTGGGCTGGAACAGCCCTGCTGTTCTCTGGGAAACGCTGACATTTAAAAAATAAGGCAATTCTGCTCTGCGAGGACAGAGCCGCATTTTGACATTTCTTTGAAGTGGAGGTTTCATTTGGAAGCATTCCCTCCTCAAGGTTGTTTGGATGCTTCTCTATCCCCACTAGTACTGCAGATGATCTTCACTACATTCAAAAATGGGCTTTAAAAAGTGACAGCGCCACAGGAACCACAGCACCTCAAATCCTCCATCACAGTGCTGTGAACAACCCAACAAACCCCACTTGGCCTTGAAACATCACAGTTTTGGGGGAAAGCACCCTTCATTTTTAACAGGAAGCGTGTGCATGGGAGGGGTCCCACTCGCAGTCCTTGTCGGGACGCATAGTCCCACAAGCTGTCGTGGAGCCTGCACAGCACCCAATCCCAGCACAGCCTCCTGCTCTGGCTGCCCCAGCCCCGGCGGGTTTGGGGACTCTGAATGACAAACCCTGTTTTACCCTCAGAGCAGCATCCAAGGTCAGCCAAGGTCAATTAAAGCTCATCATCCAACACAAGCCCAGGAAGAGGCTGCGGGGCTCTGCTCAGCTGAATCCAACTGAATTTGCTGCCTGGGGATTCATGGTGAGCTCCTCTCCCTTCCTCCCTTCCCACGGGAAGGTCAGATCCAGCCCCATCCTGAACATCAAGCAAGAGATTAATGATGTGTTTAACAGAATTGCGAGCAGGGCAGCATGGGGGAAGGTCCCATCCCAACCCTGGGTCCATCTTCAGGCTCAGCCGGACAGGAGGAACGAGCAGGGACACGTCCTGACAGCCCAGATGTCTGAAGAGGAACATCAGCCCTTGGCACAGCCTCCAGGTGGTCCACGAGGTCCAAACCCCATCTCAGAAGCATAAGTGACCTTTCCAGCAGGCTCTGGCTCCACAAAGTGCAAAACCTACCCCAGACGCAAACACCCCAGTTTTGGGGTAAAGACGTATTTCAGTAGTGACTGGAAATGGCACATTTTCCTCTGCAGACCCAACAGCTGGCAGGCCTTTAAATCGCCCTTTTAATCAGATGTAAATCCTAAGCGGCCCCCCAGGGATTAGAGGCAGACATCTGGAAAACCCACACGCTCCCAGGATGTGCAGCGGGGTCGTGTCCTCCCACCTGTGGGAGCCACAGGTGCCCACAGTGGCACCCAACACCGGCGGCTTCACTGCCACCCCTGGAGGCCATCACTGGCTGGCTCCGAGGCAGGAGCCACAGTGGGGACCCCATTCTGCACCCCTTGATCCTTTTGCATTGCCTGGGGCTGAATTTGCTGGACCCACCTTGATCCTAAAAACCCAGAGGAACTCTGGCAGCTCCAGGCACTTCCCTGGATGCTGCAGAAGACCAAATCCTTGTGGCCAAATTCAAAATTTGGAAGTGAATTTTGGTGTGAGATTGGGTCACAGAAAGGGAAGAGGAAGGGCTTGCTCCAGGGTCAAGCATGGTCCCCACCCCAGCTAAAGCATCCCAAAAATGAGGCACCCTGGTGAGCCGGATGGGTCTCCTTGGGTGCAGGGGACTGGCAGAGCAGGGGACGAGCAGGGCACCCAGAGGAGCGGAGCTAGCAGGCCAGCTGCCACCAACCCAGCCTCTCCTCCCTGCGCAGCGTCACTGGAGAGGCTGGGGGACATTTTCCACATTGCTGAAGAGTGACAAGTCTCATCGCTGACCTCCCCAGCTGGCAGGAGCGAGGCCCGAGCAGGCGTGGGAGCCGGGGCGTGGGAAGAGCAGAGACCCCTGCAAAGCGGGGAGCCCCATGGGCTGCGGGAACGCCCTGTTAATCCATTTCCCAGCCAGGAATGGGCTCCCCAAAAATGCTCCCCAAAAATCACCCCACCTCCTGCCGTCTTACAGCCCATCTCCAGGAGGGAGCAGCCCCTACAGCTCGCGCCTGCTCCCCCACCGGTGCCTGCTCCGGCTGGCAGAGATGTTTGGCCTAGAGGACGGACAGACCCGGCACCTGCAAGGGTGCAGACAGACGACAGCAAACTCCCATTTCCTGCGTGCACGAAGGAGCCCTGGGCGGCCGCGAGCCCCCTGCTCGGGATCAGATTACAGTTCAGGGCAATGGCTGAGATGTTTTTGAGTTTTCCAAAGGCATTATTTATAATGCAGAAAAGCGCTCTGCAGCCGTCCATCATGTCCCGGTGACAGCTGCCTGGCAGGGCAGCCCAGCCCAGTTTGCGAGCACAGCCGAGCTGCTTGGCCACGGGGACCTGCTTGGCCCGGGGCCCCCCAGCCTGCCCCGGCAGAGGGGCGCAGGGCTGGGCAGGCACCGCGGGCATCGGCCCCAGCCCCGCACGGGTGGATGGCACAGCCTAACTTCAGGGCCCGAGTGCCTGGATCTCGGCTCTGCCGCCGGTTTGCTGGGTAAGCAAACCACATCACTGACCCATGCCTCAGTTTCCCCAGCTGTACAGCAGAGAAGGTCACGTGCTGGTCACCGAGCTCGTTGCAAGGAGAGGAAGAGGAGGAGCCCGGGCTGACATCCGCAGGAGGCTGAAAGCATGGCCTGAAAGATAACCAGCTGCATCCCGCCACCAAGCCAGGCTGTCCCTCTCCTCCCGGAAGGGCGAAGGCAGCAGCACTGCCAGTTGGCAGCGGGTACAGGACCGGGAGCTGCAGCCTGGTCCCCAACGGGGAAAGCACAGGGGCTGCTCCAAGTTGGGGTCTGCGGAGCAGGGGCTTGGCATTCTCCCCTCGCGGAGAGGTCACATGCAGAGCTTTGCCGCGAAAGGTGTCGGCTGCCACCAGGCTCCCGACCTCACCGTGAGCAGCACCTCTGCCGGAGCCCCACACTTCAGGGGGACCCGCAGCCCCGAGGATGGCTATGGCTGGGTGGGCTCGCAGGCTGCAGGGCCAGGGCCAGCCCACCCCGGGGCGCAGCCCCCAGCCCACCGTAGCTATTCTGAGATACAGCAGCACTTCCAGGCACTCCCATGTTTAAACCCGGAAGGCTCAGCCCTGGTTAGATAACACAGGCTTTCCCTCTAATCTCCCGGAGCAGGCGGACCTGGCAGGGGCAGCTACACTCCTGCGACACCCTGCTGCCCCAGGCAGGGATTCAGCCCCCGGGCTGTCCCCCTGCTCCACCGCAGCCACCCCTCCTGCCCCTGGCAGGGCCTCCCGCCTTGGCACAGGGGACAGGCAGCTCATGGGGCACAGAGCCGCTCTGCGAGGACACCTCAGCCCAAGAGGGACCCGGGAACACCCCAGGGACCTACAGGACGCCAGGGAGACCCAAAGAAACTAGGGGGATCTGGAGAGAACCCAGGCAACCCAGGCACGCCATGGAGGAGTGGGGGCACCTGGAGAGACCCAGGGCTTCCCCAAGGACCTGGACGGAGGCAGGGGTCAAATGAAAACCA